AAAAACAACTTGCTCTCTGACAGCCCTCATTCTTGGCAATTTACCTCAGCTGTCAACAACCAATTTGTTCAGATTACTGCTCTGCATAAAAGTGTAACAATCATGAGGATTTATTAGCTGATTATCATAAAGGTGGCCGTCCCTCTTGCCTGCCAAAATGCAGGTGATCAGAAAGTTAAATAATGACGTGTAGATTAGCATACTTCACCTTGGCTTGGAATCTGTAGGTCAACAACAGATAAGATTTGTTGTTCAACTTGCAGTACGATGCACATCATCTAAATTGGTTTACGGACTAATTATTTTATTGAAGAGTTAAAGGCTTCCAGAAAACATGCTGAATACAGACTGTGGTAAACTGAGAGTGAACTTTAGAGTTGGAAGACTTGGATTTGTACCCTAGACCAGTCACTCCACTTGTGTAATCAGCAAGCAGCCTCTTAACCAAATTGGCTTTATTCTTTGTATCAGCAGAATTGGCACAGTATACACTTTCCTTCTATACCTTCGTCATATTGAGTTGTATAAAAAAAGATGGCTTACAAGTTGGAAAATATTCATTATCATTGTCATTACTAATCTCTGTTCTTGGTGAATATATTTTCATATAAAATGAAACAACAAAATGTGTAAACTTCCATATATCATGATGGTGAAAACTCTGAACTCAGTGAATATTAGAATATTAGACGCATAGTACAACACAATGAAGCCTTAAACTAGCCTATAGTTAATGTTCTATCAAATGAGGTCATGCCAGCAGATATTGCTGCAGAATCTGTGCATGCTAGCTTTTAAGCTTTTATTGCCAGAACAATCAGGCAAAAGGAAGAAATGGAGGCAAACTGTCACTATTTATATGTAATGTGATCTTATATAGAGAATATCCCAAAGCCTCACTGAAAACTGGTAGAGCCAATTAAAAATTTTTCAACAGATAAATATCAGTAACATTGCAGTCCATCAATAGCAAATTAATTGAAAAAGTAATAAGAAAACAAACCAAATTTGCAGTAGCTACAAAAGTAAAATATTTTAGAATAAATGAACCAATTTAGAATAAAAGCATGGAAAGGGAGGTTCATAGATTGGAATAAATCATATTATTAAAATGTCCATGCTACAGGGGAGGAGCTTGGCCCTGCCTCAACTTGATGAGCCATGCTTTGTTGACTCCCATGGGAGGCCCGCCCCTTTCTGAATGGAGAGGGAGGAGGGGTGAATGGGGGTCGGTAGAAGGGAGGTGGAGGCTGGGAACAGGAGGTGAGGAGGTAGGAGAAACTGTAATTGGCATGAAAATAAGTAAATAAATATCCATGCTACTCAAAATGATCTTCAGATGCAATGTGGTTTCTATCAGGGTGTGAACAACACTCCACAAACAGCTGAACTCATTTTACTACCTTACTTCCAAATACATCACAGAGCTAATGAAGACAGTGGAGTGGCGTTCAGAGCCTACAGGTATCCATCAAGGATGTTCAGCAAATGCACTAGAAACATAGAGCAGAGTATAGGCAGCCTCTTCAAAGCCCAGTCTTAGGAAAACTGGGTATCCGCATGCAGAAACCAGATCATGATCTCTCCCCAGATATACAAACCAATTCAAAAATAGACTAAAGACTTTAAAAGCAGATTTAAAACCATGAAATTATTGAGAGAAAAAATACATAAATACTTCAGACTCTTTAATGTTATGTTTAATGCAGTGTTGTTCACAGCATCACGAAGTGGGTACATAACTGTCCATCAACTGATAAAGAAAATGTAATATATATTCACAGTAGAACATTATTTGTTTTCATATTGTTTTGGTACTATAACTTTCCAAAAAGTAAAGAAGCATTGAATCTCTCATTTATGGTAGACAGATAAAACAGGAGGTCATTATACCTAGCAAAATATCCCACACATAGGAAATTAATAAGTGCCGAGATCTAACTGATATGGAATCTAAAAAGAGAACTTCCACAAATTTGAAAGTATATTAGATGGTCAAGAGTCTTGGAAGAACAGAGGGGTAGAGGGTAGGGAAATGCTTACTGATCAGGGTAAGATGCTGAGAGAGACAGGAAGTTCTGGTGTGTTGTGGGACAAAAGTCTAACTTTAGGTAACAATATTGTGTCTACAGCTATAATCTACATGAAAGTATTGTAGATGTTTCCACCAGCTGTATCAAGTGCCTGAGGATTTAGATATGTTTACTTTGACTTAAACATGACACAATATATACCTTGAAACATCACATGATACCCTAAAATATGTACAATTTTATATGTCAATTAATACGTTGCAGTAAAATAATCTTAACAATGTATAAGTTAGCTTTTCTTCTAATAATACTAGTTTAGCATTTTAAGTATAAGCACCATTCAGATGCTTTTATACACTAACTCATTAATTTTTCTCTTTTGTATAATGTCCATACCTTTCCCCACAATTACACTTGAAGTTTGTGCCTTTCACCAAGTCATAGTCACATTGATAATCTATTACCATCTGCTATCAGATTATTCTTCACTTAAAGAATGAATAATCATAATCACTAGTGCTTGTATTCAAGTTAAAGAATACTTATTGAGCATATGTGCCACACACTCTGTGACGATGCCACAGTAAACAGATATTCAAACATCCCTCCTGTCATGGCGTCTGCATTCTAGAAGAGTGAAGTGAATGGTCAAGTGTGCCACACGGTGGCCATGTCTGTAAAATATTAGCAGAGTGGGAGGAAAGCAACACTCAGAACGCAGGGTTTTATCAGACCTAAAAAAGTACTAAAGCATGGCAGGAAGTGACTTAGAGAGAACGGGGTCAACTGGCTGGTGTAACCCACAGAGGCAGCTGACCTAAACAAGGGAGAACGCATGGACCCCAGACTGATGACTGAGAGGCCAGCATGGGGCTGATCCAGACACCCCTGAACTTGGATTTCAGAGAGGAGGCCTCACCAATCTGTGGGACCTCAGATAATAGATCAGTATTTATCTCTGGCATACAAATGGACTTTAGGAGACCACTCCACGTGGAGGGATGCTCTCTCAGCCTGGATACATGGGGGAGGGCCTAGGCCCTGCTCAGGATGATATGACAGACTCTGGAGATCCCCCATGGAGGGCCTCACCCTCCCTGGGGAACGGAGGGGGCATGGAGTGGGTTGTTAGGGGGATTCTGGAGAGAGGGAGGAGGGGAAGGAGAGGGAGCTGGGAGTAACGTGAGCAAAAACTTAAATAAAAAATTATAAAAATAAAATAGATGAAAAAATAATAAAACACCTGAGTGGTCTAATAAAGAGCTAAGTAGTCAATACCAAGGCAGGAGAAAGGATAATCGGGGCTGGCAGGCAGAGAGAATAAAGGAGGAGGGAATATCTGGCAGGAAGATCAAGGATCAAGAGAACAAGGAGAAGAGGGTGCTGGGGGCCAGCCACTGGGCCACGCAGCCAGCCACTGGGCCACGCAGCCAGCCACTGGGCCATGCAGCCAGCCACAGAGTAAGAGTGAAGGACTGCAGAAGCAAGGAAAGAAAAAAAACCAGAGGCAAAGGGTAGATGGGATAATTTAAGAAAAGCTGGCTAGAAACAAGCTAAGCTAAGGCTGGGCATTTATGATGTTTCAATGTGGGGGCTAGAGTTAAAAAAACCCTACAGAGAACTCTGATAGTATTTTTCTGAGGGGCAAAGTGCAACAAAGACCCTGTTTCCAAAGGATTGAAGTATATTGCAATTTGAAGACCATAGTGGTGTTCCCCAACTTCACTTACAAGCCAGATGCCAATGGTTAGCTGAAACTTAGCTTCATCTCCCATTCTACAAGCATATGTGAAACTATTGCTTAAGAAGGTGTATCAGAATCATTTAAATACAAATGAAAAGCCTCAAATATCAGTTTGGATGCCTGTTTCTACTTTTAGACTGAAATTCCCTTTACTTTAGGAATGTGTGAATTCTGTTTGGGTTGTAAATTCAGTGACTTGGAATTCCTGTGAACTACAGTGAAGAATTAGCAAATAATAAACCTCTCTGTACACCACACTTTTTTTCTATGTTGGCAAGTTTTCACACATTTTGATGCAATGGAATATGTAACTGTTAAAAATACAAAAATAGGATTTTTAATCAGAACAGGATTCCTATCATTCAAGTAGTAGAGTCAAATACCCGTAACCTTGGAGAGAAATGCCATTTGAGCCTGAGCATGTGTCTTGCTGCATTATCAGATCAGCATGAATCTCTGCCCCACTGATGTCCCCCCTTCTCTAAAGTTCTGGAACTCCTTATAGATTTATGGACTCCTAAGAGATTGTAAGGATGCTTGTACGGAGTTGTAGGAAGTAATGTGTTTTATGGTTACAATATACACTGTGAAAACAAACATTATCGCAGATCACTTTCCATCCTTGAATGTGTCCTTTGTTCTCTAAGTGTCCCATATCAGATTAAATTCCTCTTTTCCAGCTCCCATAACTTTTGTGCACAAAAATTCTGCCATCTGGAGAAAATTTCTGGACATCGAATGGGAATATCCTGTGCGTCAACTAAGCAAAGCTGCCACCTACTGGCCACTCTTTGAATCTGTTTTTCTTTTTTTTTTTTTAATTTTATTTTCCAGTTTAAATTTAGATAAGAAACAAGGTTGCTTCACAAGTCAGTTCCAGGTCCCTCTCCCATTCCCTCCCTTCCTCCCGTGCCCTCCCCCCCCGTTATCCCCTCATTTCTCCAGGGAGGGTGAGGCCCTCCATGGGGGTGTGCATAGTCTGTCATTTCATATAGGGAAGGGCCTAGACCCTTCCCCAAGAGTTCAGGGTGAGAGTGCACCTCACATTGTTCTATGGGAGTCCAAAGTCCGTGTGTATACTTGGGATGGGTACTGATCTGCGTGAGGCTGTAGTGGAGGAAGGTTTCTTTCTTTCAAAGCTGCTGACAGCCAGATTTAAAGAATACGTTCCTTCAGCAAAAGCATGCCGCCTCTATGTAAATAAAATACCAGTTTGCACTAACCTTCCAATAAAATCATCCCTTTTCCCAGCGTCCTTGTCCCAGGCGGTGATGTCGATGATCCCCCCTCTTTCTTCATAGAGATGGAAGTCGAACTGCTCCCTCCACTGAGGATTCAAAGTTTTGGGCATAATCTGGAAAGGCAAAAAGTTATTGTGTTATCAACAAAAGTAACTACAGATCGTATTTAAAGATCACCTTGAAATACTATGCAGAAAATCTTGGCGAGGGCGGTAGTTCAACCAAAGATTCTGGGTGTACCCGTACAACATTAGCTGCCAAAACTCCGGCATCTTAGTCGCTGAGTACACTCCTATGGATGTGTCCAGAGAAATAAGGCCATCAGGAGTAAGCCCTTGATTATCTTACACAGCAGATGAGAAATACGAAATACACAAGAAGGCAGCCTGTCAGCGAGACAAGTCTATCACAGTTACTGATGAAATAAAGAACACATAGTCACTTATCTTGTAGTAAAGGAAGATGATAATTCCTAGAGTTCTCATTTTCCCTCTTATCCCCCATGCACATTGGTGTTTAAAGTTAGAAGAAACAGACAATGAGTTATATGGAGGCAGAAGGGATAAGCGAGTAGATTTGGGGTGGTTCAGTTTGCATTTAGTATTTAGTGTCACTGTGCTATACAGGGAAACTGTATATGTGTGTGCTTTTCATGATGAATGAACCACAAGGATGTCTAGACTATACTTTTGTGGTTTTTGGATGTTCAGAGAAGACACTCAGTAAATCAATAAACAAAGCCACCAATATGGATGTACTATAAAATTCCATTTGCTTCTCTTGTCATTCGTTTTCTTAAGTAGGTAGTACATAGGGGACTTTTCTCCTTTTAATGTATGAGGGACAGGTCCTTTAATGCAAAGAATTTGAAAGCAATGACATATGCGATGTACAAAGGTAACGCAAATGAATCTCAACTTTAAAGTTCATAATCTGAAATTAATCTGCAGTAGATCATGGGCAGAAAATCAAAAGAGACACACGTCCATAGTGGGGTTCATATTTCTTATCTAAAGAGCAGAACTATAAAACTAAGCCCAAATGAACATGCAAACCGTGTTAATGAGAGAAGAGAGAAGTGGTCATAGATACCTACTTTTGGAAATAGTAGCTGTTTTAAAATTTGTTCTTAAGCTACTAGTGAAAAATATAGATGGCACTAAATGGATGTTATGACAAGTCAAATGTCCTTTTCAGCTTAGCTGAGCTCCTATGGCATTTTGAATGTAGTTCATCTTTTTTTTTTTTTACCAGGCGGCAAACATACTAACATTTAGTGTTTGGTATTAGGATTATCTTTCCCATATAACTTTCTTCCAGCTAATAATTATGTCTAAATAGTCCATGTGAGCCTCCACAAGATTATCATACAGCCTGCTAGCAATGCACACTGCCCGTTAATGAATCAATTTGGGATATTTTGAATTACCTTAAGTACTGATGAAGACTTTCTGGGCTAGAAGGGGACTATACAGGGTGTCTATCCAAAATCCATGAAAACAAGTACATTACAGGCAAGGAATTTTCACAAAAATGGAATGTGAGCGTCATGTAATTCAGCATGGAGGAAAACACTCATCCCAAGCTGTCTACGTATGCCAGCTGTAAAAACTGGAAACAGTTATAATTGAACATAACAAGATGCAGCTACAGTAAGTCTTCGTCATGTCATAAATAACATGCTGATATTACTTAACATATTGCCACTAAGAATAAAATTGTTACTCTACAAACGCTAATCTTCCTGCTGCTATTTCTGCCTGCCTTTAGCACGCACTGGAGTTATGAGCTCAGCAGTATTTTACGGCCTTTGTGTGCCTACCCTGCATTCACTGAATTCTTCAATGACTTGATTGTGTGGGTTTTATTTTAGTTCTGTTTCTGCAGAAGGGAAAGGGACACATAAAGAGGTTAAGTAAGTCGTGCCTTTGAACATGACTCAACTATCACAGAGGTTTGGTTCTTTGTTTCCTAACTACATGTTGAAATTTCTGTGTATGACATGACCATTGCAATTATGAACATACAACAGTTGTTTCTGCCTGCCTGGGGCTGGATGAAAGAAAAGAAACGAGAAAAAGCAAGTAAAAGAGGAAGGAAGGAAGGAAGGAAGGAAGGAAGGAAGGAAGGAAGGAAAGAAAAGAGGGACCTGTTGGGAGGATCAATTTGGAAGAAGAAAATGGTTGCTCGGAGGGTCAAAAGGAGTGAATTAAGTGAAATACATATTATTGAAGTGTGATATAAAGCTCAGAAGAATTGTAATTAAATTAAAAAAGGAAAAAACAATTAAAAAACCCTTTGGTGTTGTATTGGCCAAAGTCAGATTGATTAACATGATTCAGAATATTTGAAAGACTTTCAGTGATGCAAAATAGTATATGTACCACTGATGCCAGCAGCGCAGGTGCTGGTCAACGCCCTCAGCACTTCAGTGTGGAGAATTGTTATATTCTTTCTGGTATATTGTTGTGTTTTTTTCTCTTAATTCTCACAAATGTGCAGAGGGCTGGTTCCTGGATAACAGTGAAGGCAGTGAGCAAAACAGCAGAGTGGCTTACTCAAGACCCCCTAGGACTTTGCTTCTGACACGATATTCCGAAGTTCCTGTTTGAAAAGGCAACTGTTGTTCATGTCTGAAGCCTGGCTACAAACCCGTCATCACCTTCCCAACAGTGACAGGAGCATAGAAGGATGGAGTCCTACCTTGCTCTTGTACTTCTGATGCCCCAGCCGGAACTTCACATAGGGATCACTCAACCCATTGGAATCCATTGCTTTGAGGTCTCGGCCCTCAATCAGGGTGATGCTGACAATTCCTCTCCACAGATGTGATTTCCTGTGCTGGTCTGACAGGCGTAAGCTTTGGGTCTGAAACTGTGGCAAAGGAAAAACACGTTAGCTTATTGTGTTTTAGCTCCAAGCTCTCAGGTGCCCTTACTTTTTTCCTTAGGATAGTTTTCCAACGAATAGAAGTTAGTCAATTATTGTTTAAAGAAAAAAATAATTCATGGAATATTATGTATTGATTATGAAATTATTAACAGACTACGAAATTATCATCTCATGATGTATTTGTTATGTATGAGGAACACTCAAGCACTATAGCTTCTTGGTTCCTAAAATTAAAATATGTCTAAAATAAATATCAAGGACCACAGCTGTACTGCTCTATTTAAGTTTTTCAGTTTTAAGGTTTAAGAGTCATTTTTTATATGTTAAAAATGGATTTTGCAGATGGCTTTTAGCTGAAGGATCAGTTGCAAGTTAGACTTAGAAAATTTTAAAGCTGTCTTACTATCTTAGGGGATTAAGTGCTTTTTCTAAAGAACTATTTAAAGGAGCAGAGAATATAAAAATAAACAATATGCTCACCCAGACAACTTACTTTTGTCTGAAACTTGTATCATGAATAATTACAATTATTTTTAAGTTAACATGTGATTTACATTGGTATGTTTCCAGATTTTTCACTAATTCTGGTGTATGAACATTCTCTAATAATTTCTAGTATGTTCAATTATAAATCAATATTTAGTCCGGTGAACAAAATCAAAATTATTTTATATTAGTGAATATACTAAAATGTCCACATGGTTTTAATAAAACTGAACGACACTTAAAACCAACTAGAGGAAGAGCAATAGCAGTAAACACCATCCTTCTGGATTCAGAACTCTTACAGAACTGTTGTTTCTGTGGTTAAGGGTGTTTGATCCCCTTGCAGTTGTTCCATGAAGAAATTCAGTTCTCCTATGCCAATTATAGGTTAGCCATATGATGCCAAACCCTTTCTACACAGATCTCATGAACTTACAAACTGCCTTGTTCATGCCTCCTCTCACTTTGGCTCCCAGAGCTTCTCTGTACCATAATAATACTATGGCCAGTTGTACATGTGCTCATCAAAAGTTACGTATTTCAAGGCGGATTTATCAGGAAAACAGAAACCACGTGCTTCAAAAGACAACAGTTCTAGAGTTGGCAATATTTCAATTGAATTCTTTGTAAACAACACTTGTTCAATGCAAATTTTGACATGGATTCTGTCTTACTAACATGTTAATAACACATCTCACCTACGAGCCTCAGGAGCCGTGTTCAAATGAGTCCTGATGGACAAAAGAAGTCGGGAAAATGCATGTAAGTTCCACAGAATCCTACCTACTTCATGAGGCTGCCTTTTTCCATCTATGTCACACACTGGGTTTCTACACTGGATTTTGTTTGAACAAAGCATTTCTCAAAATAACTGTTTAGAATTTATTGCACCAAAGACTAAGGATTGTTCTTTGTCATATCAGTTGATTAATTTTTGTTAGTGCTGAGCATTGAACCTGGGACCTCTTGCATGTAGGCAAGCATTCCACCACTGAACAACCTTGCCGCTCTATTCTAATTGATTGATTGATTGGTTGGTTGATTGATTGATTGATTGAACAACTGATGTTGAGATTGTCCCTAACAGCAGCACTTAGAGAGGATTCTGAACTTTGGCTATGAAGGATTTTTTGAGAAGTATGATTTGCAAAGGAGGAAAAAATTTTATAACAGTAAGAAGGCAATTTGTTAGTAAAAAATGTGAATTAATAGCTGCCAATTCATATGGAGCTTCAAAATTTAAAAGTAGGCATATGTATAAACTTTATGTAGAAAAGCAAGAGTCAAGCCCCTGTTTAGTGATGTTTAATTGAGGCACAGAGTGTTAAGCTACTAAATGGTGGATGTCTGACTAGAACTTTGAGTTCCTGGGTTTTAATTTTGACATTTTCTCAAAATAAGTGTTATGTCAGACATGCTTAAAGATAATAATGATTTAAACGTAAGAACATAAAATCCAGTTAAATTTATTGTTGGTAAAGAGGTAACTTTCCAGTAGAGGGTACCCTGAATGGTAAATTGAGGAAATCAGATCATGCGTTCTATCACATAAGTGTATGCATATTCATTACAGACAGTGTGCTGGAGTCTGCAGAAGCAGAGAACTTCCCCGTCACAGCCAAAGTGATATGGGGCACCATGTTGAGTGCACATCACCAGCCAACAATGCTGAGATGGTTTCTTCCACTGTAGGACATCTGAAACCTACACCTGTCACTCTTCTTCCTAGTATCTCTTTCTCTTTTTTTCATGAGAGCAGAAATAAGTGAGGAGGAAAAAGCATGTTTTCCATAGAGGACCTACCAAATGCCTTCTTTACAAAGGAATGCTTTCTTAGAACCTAGAAAGCTATTTCATAAGCAACACAGGAATCGGAAAGGGGGAGAACAAACTTTGGAAAAACAGAGAGCCATTGTCTGAATTAAGGTGACCTCTAACAGGCTAACAAGAACACAACAGTTCTGAAGATGAACCAATCAGAGTTTTTTAAGGGATTTTTTTTCTTCTTCAATAACTGTTGTTCAAAACGGCACATTTCTTGCAAAAAACTACAATTCACCAGAGATTTAATGGGGTAAGCTCATAATTTTAGGAAACAACATAGTCATTAAACAAATACTGGTTTAGTTTTGGCCATGAGATATGGAAAGTTAATAACAGTACAAGGTAAAGGAGGAAGGCTAGACAGTCAAGACTAGAAAAATGAAGGCATTGAGCAAAACTGGTCTTCACAACTGTGCATTCTCAATCCACACATGTAAGTAATGACTGGCTGAAAATAGTCAAAAACGCTTTCGCACTGAACCTTTACATAATGTTTCTTGTCATTACTCTCTAATAGTGTGGTATGACAGCTAGCTAGCTACATAGCATTTAAACAATCTAGAAAGATTTAAAGTGTGGGTTCTAAATACCACACCAGAGTGATTTCCGGACTTGCTTTGTATTCAGAGGCAGTAGTTGAAACGGTGTCCCCACCCAACCACCACACACTAATCATATCTTTCTAGAAATTTCTGTGTAATTTTGGTATATTGGCCGCCTTCTTGGATTTACTTACTTATTTCTTTATTTGGTTTTGAAAACAGTTACCTATGACTGTGTAGATGAAGAACACCCTTCAGTGTACATGCAGGAGGACCATGTACAAATCTGTGTTCTATAAACCACAGCAGCCTCACTTTCCTTTAGCAGTTCATCATTCCTACCTGCTTTTAAGAATGAGCGTCCCGGGGAACTCATCAAAGTGTTGGTGAAGAGCACAAATCCACAACTAAGAGCATTCTGAGACCTTCACACTCATGACTCCCTGCTAACACCGACATCCCTCGGTACCTGTGGTCACTTGCTCTCTGGTAACACTGATGGCCCAGGGTACCTTTGGTCACTTCTTTCTAGTAACACTGATGTCACATGGTAGCTGTGGTCACTTGCTCTTCTTCAGAAATTCACTGCCTCTGTACAGTGTATTTATAAATGTGTGATCCCCTGAATATGGACATTAGTGCTACCTGGAAACTTATCAGAAATTGAAGATCTTCAGTCCTTTCAATGGACAGTGGCAGCAGACACTGAGGGTTGGACTCAGCTTTGGCTTATTCAGTCCACTAGGTGGTTCTGAAGGTCCTCAAACATAAGAAACCCTATTTTAAAACATTGCATTATTCATATGCACACTGGATCTCACCCGTGTTCTAACACCTATTATTAATTTATATACTCGTAAGTATTATTCACTATTCATCTGGCATTGACATACTTTTTAAAAAAGTCTTTAGTGTTGCTTTTAAATACACTGCTCAAGAAAGCATCTTATTCAGAATATTTGGAAAATTTAAGGGCAAAGTAGATGCCTAGCAAGCAATTATGAAAATTTTGTTACCTCCCTTTATTAATATTTTTCTCATAGAATGAGTCTAAACTATACATTTATTGAAGAACTAATTATCACCAATCAAAACTACTTATTGAGCAGCTAACAGGGAGGAACAGATCTGTGGTTGCCCTCCACGGGCTACACCTATTCATTGTATTTTCAAGGTGTTGTTCTCAGAGAAGTACTCTCTAAATCAGAGTTCTATTTGGCAGAGAATGGAAAGAGGAGGGAAGACTAAGAGGACGGCATAATTCAGCTTGAAAGCCAACATCCACAACGAGGGACAAGTGATGGGGGAAATAGTTTTAAAGGCATGAGATCTCAGATTTTAGCAGGAAGATTGTTTAAAATCCTGGACCTGATCCTAACTGGATCAGATTCAGTCTGGGAGGTTGAAGAGCTGAATCTTTATCAATGCACTCTGTGTTTTCCTACCTATCAGCACTCGAGGACCACCTACATCAGAAACATTCATCCGATTTTAGAACTAATATAGAAGAATGTCAGCAGAGTTTGAATTAATCACTAATATGTAGCTTTAGTAGGATGTTAGGACTAATTAGTTGCCACTTTAAAGAGAATGTTAGTTTACTTTTATTCTTTTGAAAACAGATCCAAGAATGTGCAATCTGTTTGTGTGTCTAAAATGTCCAAAGAGGAAGTGGCTTTCGGAACTGACATCAGCCTCAGAGTACACACTCAGAGCAAGAGCAAGAGACAGAGCAAGCCATGAGATAACTGGAGGAACTCTCTTGGGAGTCTTGGCAATAAGGCCTCGCAACCTCTGCTCTGCTGCAGCCGAGGACGTGAGAGCAGGCTGTGTTCAACTGGATGGGATGAATGGTTAGAGGTCTAAAATTCTTTTTTATAACAGCATGTAACATTAAATTTTAATCCAGTTGTCCTTGATTTTCAAGTCACTTTTCTAAGTGTCCTTGTAGTGCAGTGAAAATGAGCACCAGTGCAATATAGGGCGTCCACCTGCTACCTTGTTTTCATTAGAGTGACATCGCCTAGCAAGAATTACAGCGTGATGATGGGTCCTGCTTAATAGTTTCAGTGTTTTGTTAAAGAAAAATTTTCAGCATATCTGATACAGTAAATTTTTTGGAGATTTTTT